TGGCAATAATAAACGCCTACAATGGCCAGAAAAGCAGCAGCAACAACAGCCACTACACACGCCGCACTGAATTCCGATAACAGATGTTTCAACTGCATCGAGCAGAAATTTAAAGAGCCCTCTGAAACAAAGATGCCATCGCTGTTGGTGATACGCGTTTAGCTGAACCTGTATTTGACTTAAGCAACTTCTTTAGAAATCGACCATTCATTTGCTTACTTGCGCTTTCTTTACCTCCCCCTACCCTCTGCCCAACATGCTTTTGTGACGATGCATGTACGCGCGCACGTTCAATTGTAAATGGATTAGAAATTGAAATCACGTTTTTCCTTGTCATGGCGAGCGTGCATAAAATCATCCTGCATGGATGGTGGATCCGTCGCAAGCTGGTAAAGGTATTTAGGTATGTTTGTCGGTATGGTTGTAGCTGTTAGGCCACAGTGTAAACAAAACAAAAAAAAAAAACAAAAAACAACTGCTGTAAAAAGCTATTTTTCTTCTGGCCTATCAATTACATACTTCTCAGATCGCAGCTGGGAAGGCAGCCTGCAAAGTCAAGTAATTCTTTATCGGCTTTTCTTGGCTCTCCTGACTTACTTACCTAATGGTTTTCGGGTCAAAAATTTAATGATGCATGAAAATGTAAGTCGATATGTACATATATAAAAAATGTTGAAATAAAATACTGATGAAGTGAAAATATTTCAAATATGGCAGCGTCAACACTGCGCCTCTTACTTTCGGTCATTAAGCAATTTCCAACTGTCATTTCCATTTAAAGTTGACTTCCTCCTTTTCCTGCGTCAATGACTTGGGATTGTATGTACATACATAGTTATTTTGAATGAATTAGTTTATTATGCAACTGTTGTTGAATATTTTCCTTTTGTTATGGGTTCGAGGCTTTTAGTTTACGGATATGGATTCACTTATTGTGTAAATTTGCTAAACAAAATCCCTAAGGACTGGAAGCTAAAAGCTATGGGCATTCGATGTCAGCAGCTTTTATTGTATATAAAAGGAATGGTGCTGAAGTCAAGCATTAAATACTTACCTTTTGTGCGCATTAGATATCAACTCTTTAAATAAATATCCATTAAACATATCGGTAAAAATAAGAACTTTTGGGTAATCCCACATTTCTTTTGTCTTATCCATATTTCCATATATAAGTACAGTATCGGTCATATCAACGTAGAAAACTAAAAAAAAGGAACAGTCCAGCGCCTTCGTCTTGGTCTGCAGGCTGTATCGGAGACACATCCGCCACATCACCGTATAATTCAAAGTTCAAAACTTTGTGTACAGCATGGTGAAATAATAACAAGGTGTTGTCAGTAGCGACGTGTTTGTTGTAATTTTTACAAGATCGGCATGCTTATTTTCAGTGCTGCCGATCTTAATTTTTATAATGCTATTAGTTGGGAAATTGTATTTAAAATACTCCATTTTAGTATTTCATTTTATCGTGATTTTTAAAGAACTTGGTGTTTTCAGAACGATATTAATAATTAAAATTGCTGGATTTGTATAATTTTTGTCCTCAAAATATAAAATATAAAAGATATCGTAGTTATCAATGGAAAAAGACGTACACAAAAATCGTATGGAAAGTCGATTTTTTTATATTAAATATCTTTTGCTGCATTGTCATAATATCGAGCCAAATGGACTACTGATACACTAAAATAGAGCGACAGCATGGTTAAATTACGACTTCGCTTATATTATCGATATTTATGTGTTTTAATCTATATGTCAGCCGCTGTGGCGTAGTGGCAAGCAGTGCGCGCTCCACTCAGCAGCACCTGGGTTCAAACCCTGGTCAAATCAACATCGCAAAAAATATAGAAAAAAGGTTTTTTCTTAACAGCGGTCGTCCCTCGGCAGGAAATGGCAAACCTCCGAGTGTATTACTGCCATGAAAAACAGCTTCTCATAAAAAGCAATCGCCGTTCGGAGTCGGCGTAAAACTGTAGGTCCCTCCGCTTTGTGTGACAACATCAAGGCGCACGCCACAAGTCGGAGGAGAAGCTCGGCCAAACGCTAACATATATGTAAGCGCCAATCTATTATTATTATTACTAATCTATTTAAAAAATCATTTACAGTTTTATAGGAAATTGCCTTATTTTACGGCCTGTACTTTTTTATAAGTTACAATATATGTGCAACCTGTGTGGAGCATACGATACAAACATATATTCACGCTTATAGGCCTGTAATTAAACATTTTTCTACTACTTTAAAATGCGTGACCGGAATAGACCTGCCGAAAAAGTGAGGTTAAGTTACTGACAACACCTTGTTATTATTACACCATGGTGTACAGTTCAGAAACTTTTAACAAATTTCAAAATAATGTCATCAAAATTTTAAATTTTTTCCACATTTTTTTAAACGTTTTGGGTATGCAGTTTTGTGCAGGTTTGAAATACTGAAAAATACCGTTGACTTTTGAGTTTTTTTTTGGTCGATGGTGTTGCGCATTTTCTGCCATGTAACGCATGACCAAAATCTACTTTTATATGGAAGAAAATAAGCAACCCCTCGAAAAAAAATGTTTATAACATTTTTTTGAAATTGTGAATTGTGAATATTGTAAAAAATAAAAGTGCGCTATTTAGGTGAATGCCACTGTATATGTGTAAGGATAATTAAAAACTTTGTATGGATTAAAGTGCAAGTGAGACACTGGTTTTTACTTAATTTACTTTATTTTACGGAAAAGTAGATTTTACTCATTTTCATGATACACTAGAAGGGGGTTTCTTTACAAAGCCACACTTAGAAATATTTTCTTACAAATTTGGATTTACATTAATCACTAATGCTAGGAAAAGGTCGTTTTTGTCAAATAATAAAACTGATACAATTGTACAGCATATCAAAATTACATCTTTAATTACAATATTTATAATTCGAAAACATAAGTTCCTATTACAACAAATTCCAAAGATTAATGAATATATTTCCTGTTGGAAAGAATGGTAATAAAATTTAAACAGGAAAAATGTTCGTAATATATCTTCAATTTCTTTAAGTATATTGATACATTTCATATTTAAGACAGTTTATTTCACAAACCGGAGATCTTAAATTTCTATGAAAAATGTTAGCGTTAATTTCATTTTGCGCCGTTCTGCAAATCATAACTAAACATACGTACATAAATAGCAATATTGCGATTTCTTGAATTCTCAAATTTATGATTCATCTATTTTTAACAGAAATGAACTTAATAAATCTATGCTATTGAAAAAAAAATCAAAACAATTCCATTGATCGGCGAAAAGAACACTAATGTCTTGTAATTACCGTCATACTTATGGATGCCTTATGCAAACAGATATGGCTAGAAGTGCTTAATCGGAGAAACTATCACTCCAGTAGGTTGTTGTGAGCGGTGCCACTGCTTTGAATAAGTCCTTTCCAACCGTATAACTTTCCACATCGAGCCTTATTTTCGCCACACGTTCCACACCTGGACAACGTCCTTCTTTATGCTTTTCTAACCGTGCCTCGGAAACAAATTTTCGCTTACATTTCTCGCATTGATGCAGCACACCCTGTTCGTCATGCTCCTCTACCAAGTGTCGACGTAATTCCGCCTTACTGCTGCCTGTATACTCGCATTTGCTACATTCAAAGCCGGATGGCTCATCGGTGTGTTTTTGCACATGCTTACGATAGGCACCCTGTATCTTAAATATTTGCCCACATGTTTCACACTTGATGGGCTGTCGTTGATTATGCGCCTTTTTGTGTAGAATCAAGGAAAGTTTACGTGCAAACACTTGTTCACATTCGTCGCAAGGGAACTCACTGGGCTTATCTTCGGCCTCATCCGACTGTGGTGTATTCTTGGTTTTCCTTTTCTTTACTTGTTTCTCTTTTGGCTCCTCATCTTCGTCGCTGCTCTCCTCTTTTATTATTACTTCTGGTGATGGCAAAGACCGTTTTGAAGCTGGGCGCCCACCCACACGCTTCTTCTCTTTTACTTTTGGCGCCGGAGTAGCTGCGGCCGATTTGCGTTTACCCCTCTTAGCAGCTGCCACACGTGGGGACCGTTTCTTTTTTGGAGAACCGAAATCGGAATCATCGGAATCATCTTCGGCAGTTATTCCACCTTCGTCAGATACTTTAAATTCTACATCATCGTTAGGCTCCTCATCTGATGGATCTGAGTCCAATGTAGCATCTATGACCACATAGCCAGCCGGTCGCCGTACTTTATTCTTACTACGTGACAATTTTTTGCGCAATTCCCGCTCGGTTGTTTCACATTGCGTTTTCAGCTCTAAGGCGATATTTACTTTATCCAAACATGGATTGCAAATGAATTGCGGCATAAAATCCTTCTGAGCAATGGAAACTGTTGGGCAGATGATCATTAACTTGTCTGCTATAGTTTGCTTACTAGTTGCGTTAAAAAGACTGACAAGTGCTTCCTTGGACGTGCAGACACGGCACTGATTCTCATCTACTTGGTTCTCGATTTTGGCGGCTTCGCGTGCCGTGCTAGTGGGTTGCTCGTCATCTTCCACATATGTTTCATCATTTGATTTTCGGTTGGAATTCGCTTGTACTGCTTCATCTTTGCGTTTTTTGGGTAACTGTGTTAGTTTGCGCAAAACCGGCTTCACATTCTCTCCATCTTCCGCCTCCTCTTCTTCCTCCAACATCTCTTCGATA